AAATCCAAAAATTGACTACTAAGTGCTGTTAGACTTAGAATTTTAATCTAAGTTATTAAAGATTTTTCTTAAATTTCACTATTTTATTTAGTGAACTAAAGTATAGAAGTTATAAGTTAGTCTCTATCCTAATTCATATTCTTTTATGTAGTAAAAGTGTCACTTGAGGACAAGTAACATTTAATTTTGAGGGATTTAGATACAGAAAATAATATGTTATTTTATGTATATATTTTACAATTATTTTTAGTGATATTACACTTTAAGAAAGAGCTTTTTCATGTTTTTATTGCAGATATATCAATTTTAGGCATTTAGAGCAAAAGTAGCAAAAAAGGACGAAATTTGAAGCCAAAACAATGAAGTTTTGAATTCTGGCGCATGATGCTCCAGATTGATATTAGATGCAGCAAAACCCAGAACAACGCGGTCTTCAGCAAACTGGCGCATGATGCGACGTGCGCTAAAGCCCAGAACAACGCGGTCTTCAGCAAATTGGCGCATGATGCGACGGATTGGCGCCAGATACGCCATTTGACAGAGAGTTGGCACATGATGCGCCAGATTTGGCACCAGATGTGTCGGGATGTTTTTTTGAGGATTAAGGCGGTTCGAGATGAATTTTACGTGAATTTTCATAGGGACATTTGTTCTAAACACCCCTTGGAGTAATTCAATGCATCTAAATACTTTGGAAGGTTCTTTTATGAAGGCATACGTCTCTTAGATCACTGGACATGTCATTTGAATTCAAAAGAGTTGACTTTTAGACAGAATTTGGGGGGAAATTTTGAATTCTTTTTGGAGGGAGTCAGTCTTTGATAAAAGAGATGGAAATATTGGGCTTGAGAGAAGAGAGAGAGAGAGGTGAGAGTATTGGTGTGTGGCGTGAAGGAGAGTTAGAGAGAGAAAGAGAGAGAAAGTTAAGGGCTAGGATATTTTCTTCAAGGATTGTAAGAGGAGAGGGAAGGTGAGAGATTTATTCTTCATTACACTTTTAAGAGAGATTTGAGAGTGCTTGTAAAGAGAGGAAGGCTTGGAGAGAACTTCTAAGAGTTTGCTTGGGAAGAATTGTGAGATAAGTTGTGTCTTTTATTTTTTTTGTTTTGTAAACATGTTTTTATTAATGAAATTCGTGTAGTGTCGTATCCTTCTCACAAATTCTGAGTAGTCTTCTTTATCCTTCTACTTACTTTGAGATATGGTTTTGTGAAGAATTGATTTTGTTTTATATGGTTTTAAATGTCAATAATTTATGATGATTTGAACTCCGATCTTCATTTACTTTTCGATCTGGCCAATTAAAATATTAAAATGTGTTTAGAAACATATGTTCCGAAAGGGCTATGATTTCTACAACATGGGGAGAATCACATTTGATTTCATGGGAGAGTATTTCATCCATAGAATTGGATGCAAATACATAGAGAAATATATTTTGTTGGGTGCAGAATTGGAGATTCTAAGGTGTAGATTAAAATCCCCAATTTGGTCCAGTTGATTCGGAACTAATGCGAGATTATTAGCCCTCAGTGGAGGGAGGGAGTAGTGGAAGATTTAGAGTGGCAGTCAGTATCCTCCTAGCCTAACCAAGGAATTATGGACCAAACTTTGGATTAGTCATGTTTTTTATGCACTCAGAAGAGGTTAAAGAATAAGATTGCTCCTATTTGACATAAAACAATTTTTATATATGTTTTCAAATGATTTTAATTTCTTTACAAACCATATACTTATAGTAAAGGGGAATGATGCTTTCTTAAATTTGAACTTTTCATCACAACATCTTAGTTTTAATTTTAGTAATTTTACTTTTGAAAGTTTAGCTTTTGATTTAGTTAACTTTGTCTTTCAACTGCATTTTATTTAGCATTCACCTTTCACTTAATATTCAACTTCGCACTACTTTCTGTATTTTTAAAATAGTACTTTCATTATAATCTTAGGAACTCATTTACAGGCATTTCTAACTTCCTTGTGGGATCGATATCTAGGACTCCATTAAAGCCTTTTATTACTTGAGCGATACATATACTTGTGTTATTTTTAAAGGGGATTTGACAGTTTATAGATTTTTAAAAGATAAAACTATTTTAATTAAAGTTATTTTATTGAGATTAATTTGCATATTTGCTATTGTAACTGCCGTGTGTATTTTTTAATATTAAAAAAATACATCTTCATGAAGATGCCCCCTGACCTTAGGGTTAGCTATTTAAGTTTTTTTTTAGATAACAAGGACACTTGATTTTGTGGATTTTTTGTTCTACCTCATGGGTTATTTTTTTTTTTTAATTGTTTCATTTGATATATGAATTGTATGGTTTTCCTTTTTAGTATGAACAATCTATATGTTATTCTGTATTTATGCCTTCTCATTGTATTACATTATTAGATTTTAGATGTTTTTTTAATGTTTTATAATTCATATATATTATCTGAACAGAGCAATTGTTCAACATGGACTCACAAAGAGAGAGACAGAGAAGAAAAATTGCAACAACAGTATGTTTGTTGTATGAATTACTACAACTCATACGTCGACCGAATTCCCTGCATGACATCCACTTATATTGGTGATAATGGGTTGGGGAGTTGCTACAAGGACACCCCCACAAGATGCAGTAACATGTTCTGTATGACATATCTATATTTATGGATCTGCTTGATAAACTACATAGCCGTCATGGACTCTAAGGCTTCTCACGAATGATAATAAGAGAGGCGTTAGCAATAACCCTCTACATTTTATCACAGAATGAATCAATGAGAGGAGTAATGGAATGATTTCAGCATTCTTCGGAGATAATCAACATATATTTCTCAGTGGGGTCGAAAGCTCTTGTTGGTTTGACAACACAGATTACTAAGCCAGAGGATCCAACATTCGAGAGGACTTCAACAAAGATTGTAAATGACCCACAATATATGTTACTTTTTAAGGTAAATATTTTATAACACATTATATTTAGAAAGTCAAAATGATTAGAGTGGTCATCATAACTTTATTTAATTTTTTTAAATGGTATTGCAACAATTGACAGAATCCACGTGGATGAATGTGTATCCAATAATGAAAATGTCGCATACATTGAACAGTGTGGATCACCCACACAAAATGTGATGGCCATATGTGGCTTCAACATGTGCTTTACTTTTGTGATGGTTGACTGGGAAGACATTGCACATGACAGTCGTATTTTTTCTTTTGCAACAAGAAATCAAAATAATATGTTTCCTTACCCACCTCCAGGTATGTTTAAATAATAATCATATTTTTTTTGTTTTAATTTTATTAATAATTTTATTATTTAGGACAGATAAATATTAATTGGTTGATGCTGGATATCCTTTACAAAGGGGGTATTTGAAGCCATTTCACGATATGAAACATCACATTCATGATTTTGAAAGATCTAGTAGTGTTGTTTGGGGTAGGAAGTAAATGTTTAACAAAAGACACTCCTCGTTACGAGGGGTAATTGAAAGAACATTTAGAGTTTGGAAAAAAAAATGGGTCATGCTGTATGATATGACGGCGTATCCATTTCCGAAACGAGTTGCAGATTGTAGTGGCTACAATGACTCTGCACAACTACATTCGACATCATCAGTCTCAAAATGATGTAGACTCCAGCATGACCGACGATGATCATTTACAGGTTTCGACATAAGCCTTTGAATATCACAACTAGAAGTGAAATCATAGAAAGTTAGCATAAGAAATTGATGAATTGAGAGAGCGGATTACAGACGCCATTATTTGATGTTGATTGAACGATTATTGTTTATTTTATTCAACTCATTTTTTAATTCCATTCCTTGTATTATTAATATTATTTTCTGCTCCTTTATATCATACATGTCATGGTAGATATTTTTGATTTTGGATTCTTCACGTCATTTATAGTTGTTTTTCTTTTTCTTTTTCCATTCCATTTCTTTTTCTGTGGGTTTGTGCGGTCCATGATGAGACGTTAGACCTTGTGAGTTCTTATGAATGACTTGTTAGTCACTAGATGATTGGTATCACATGTGAAATCCTGATGAGGGCAACCAAGCAACTCTTTTCTTTTTGATGCAACAGTTTTTGAGATACTTTTGGATGCCCCTTTTTGGTGATATTCATATGTGACACACACAAACTTGCTATTACGTTGATTGAAGACAACCAATAACTCCTATTTTATAAGGTTTGTTGTCTTCTTGTAGTGACAAATTCGTTGGTTGGTGTACTGAGTTCTCTGAGAGCTCGCTCCCACACAAAATTGTAGTTGATTACTGCTTTTATCAATTTATACTTATGTTATGACAAATGGATTATCTATTGAAGCATTTATGAATGACGAGCTCTAGGATTTCAGAGACCTCCGATGATTGCTTTGTTACTGCATACTTCAAACTTCTTTGCTGACGTCACGTCAGTCACCTAGCTACAAGAGATAGTTCTACAAGTGCCCGCGACGAGCCACAAAAATTGTGACTTCTTCCATAGGCAGATAAGCTAAAGAATCAATCGCCGAGAGTGATCTGGGGTGGAGACTATTGCTGGAGAAGGACATAACTATTAACATACATAGTCTCCACATTAAAATTACCATTAACATATTATTAATAGTCTTTTTCTTGATTGTAATAATCATGATATTCACTGTTGATTGAGGTGTATATCTTATTTTTTATTTTGTTCTAAAGTGAATTTTTGCTTCTCAAATATCAAATATACTGCTACGATAGTTCTGTTGTAAAGAACATTACTACACAGACAAAAATCATTCATCAAAAAACAACTACAAAAGAGTTATTTTTCAACAACACAAACCAAACAACTAGCTTATCCAGATCAACTGCTATACAATAATTTTTTTGCCGACAAATACTTATGAGCAACTTATTAATAAAATGTAATTATCCCAAACAGACGCTATGCGTTAAAAAAAATTACATATTGATGAAATATGTGACAAATATGGATGTGGCAGGGATGAATCATGCCAGCAAATGGAAATGTTTAATATTTTGAAAAGAAAGAATAGCCTGCGAAGCCTCCACCATCTTGCTACTCTCCCCGCTTCGTTTCTCTGGCATCCTGTCTTCAATTTTTCCATTCCTCGGTTTCTGGACGAGATAGGGTCTCCGGCCTCGAGGACTAGCTGCTGTAACCTTAAATTCTGTCACCGGATTTAATCCGACTCTTTCGTCTTCACCTCTATTCATTTTTCTCAATTTTTCGTCGGTTGATCCGGTATTAGGCGGTTCTAGGAACAAATCAGACTTCCATTCCACCATTATACTTTGGCTGGGCACCTGTGGGATGGACGGGGGTGGCGCGGCGTATAATCCCCGTACACCGGAGGAGGTATTCCGGGATTTCAGAGGACGTCGGGCCGGCGTTGTCAAGGCTTTGACAACAGGTCTTTCTGTCCCCACGCACTACTTTTTATTCGTCTCTTGCCTTTACTAGGCTGTTCTTACTAGGTCTAGGATGCCTTAAATATTGCTTTCACCTACCCCTTAATGCGCATGCTAGTTTGAAACATGTTTACTTACTTCGTTGGTGTTTGTTGCAGATGTGGAGACGTTCTACCAGCTCTGCGATCCGGGTAAGTTATATTATGTGGTCTTTGCAATTCTGCTCTATGGTCTCGCATTTAGGCTCGTTGTTTCTGGCTGAGCGTAGTTTTTTTGTGTGTGTGTGTGTGTGTGTGTGGAGAAAACGATTTTACTGTTTTTTGGTCATTGGATCCTTTGGGCTTAGGTTGTTGACTTCTCTTTCTCTAGGGTTTGGTTGTAAGTAGGATATTTGTAATCTGGCTAATCTATCAACATTAATTCTTCAATGGTTATAATCTTTAATACTATTTGGTTGCTACAATGTGTTGTCCTTGTTCATTTATTTTATTTGTTTGGCATTCATTAAAGAATTGGGGCATTATTGGTTTGGATTGTTGGCTGTATTCTATTAACAATATGAACATAATATTGTTGTATGATTTCGCTATAGTCTGCTAAGAAGTTTTTTATTTGGCAGTGAAGAAATTTATTAAGGCAGTAAATAAAAATTGTGACACTTATTATGATTTAATGGTCAATTTATGGTCATTAATCAACATGGTAATTAGCGGTTGTTTGCAGTTAGGCAGCTGTTTATGATAAGTAGATTTATACCAAGTGATTAGAATCATAATGCTGTTATTTATTAGTAAATGCTTTCTAATACTTAAGTTATTTCCTGATTAGAAGTATAATTGCTTAAAAATTGTTTAAAAGGAATTAATTATATGTTTATCAAGATGCTTATTGCATGTTTGTTATTGTGTTAGTTAGTTGATTGATTGTCATATTAATCAACCAATTTATTAGTTGATTAACCATATAATCAGTAATTATTCATAATCAATAACTCAATGTTATGGTTACCATTTTTAATTGAATTTAAACTTGTTCTATTAATTGAATGATTAAGTCAAATTATTTATAAATTATTAAGTTAAATAGTTTGTGTGTAACCTCATTAACTATATAATCATTACAACAACAACGACGACGGCAATAACAACAGACCTTTATCCAACTAAGTGAGGTCGGCTACATGAAACCTTTTTCTCCATTGCGTCCTATTGAGTGTCATATTTTTTTTTAATTATAATAAATTAAGATTACTTTTTATATAATATGCCCAAGCCTTTCTAGGTCCACCTGTCTTTCTTAATAAAAGTTGAATCTAAAACATCTACTCACCTAATCAGATCGTCAGAACGTTGATGTTTAGTGTGACCAAACCATGTAAGACAACTTTCTAATTTTGTTCGCCACTAAAAAACCAACCCAATCACGGATATATTCATTTCTCATTTTGTCTCTAAGTGTAAAACCACTCATTCATCTAAGCATTCTCATCTCGGCAACACTTAACTTTGTTTTATGCTTCTCTTTTAAAGGCTAACATTCAACGCCATAGAGCATTGCAGGTGTCTCACATTATAAAATTTTCCTTTCAGTTTAAGCGGTACTTTTCTATCACACAATAGGCCCGAAGCATTCCTAACTTCAACCAACCAACTTGAGTTCTACTAATAACATCCTCATCTATATCACCATCACTTCGAACAATAGACCCGAGATATCTGAAGCGTTCACACCTTTTAATAATTTGATCACCCATAGTTACAATTCTGTCACTAGAGCTACTACTACTAAAATTACATTCCATATATTTAATTTTAGTTCTACTCAAACGAAGCCTTTGGACTCCAATGTAGACTTCCATAATTTAAGTTTTTTCTGAGCTTTTTCTCTCGTTTTATCCACAAGAAGGATATCATCAGCAAAAAGCATATACCAAGGTACATCCTCTTATAAATGTCCTGTAAGAGCATCCACAATTAAACCGAAAAGATATGGTCTTAAAGCCAATCCCTGATGTAATCCAACTGAAATAGGAAAATATTTGGTCAATCATTCTCTTCAAACACAAGTAACAACTCTAGCATACATTTTTTCAATGACTTGAATATAAGCCATATCCACACCTTTCTTCTCTAGAACTTTCCGAAGGATATCTCTTGGAACCTTATCGTAAGCTTTTTCTAAATCAATAAAAATCATATTTAGATCCTCCTCGTTCTCTTCGAACTTCTCCATCAAACCTCTCAATAAATGTATAGCTTCCATATTATACCTGCCCGACATAAATCTAAATTGATTATTAAAAATCTTTTTAATACGTTTTAACCTATGTTTAATTATCCTCTCCCATAATTTTAAAGTATGACACATCAACTTAATTCCTCTATAATTTGAACACTCTTTTGCATCCCTTTTATTTTTAAAAATGGGGAAAAAAAAATACTCTTTTTCCACCCCTCAAACATCTTTTTAGTTTTTAAAATAATATTAAAGAGTTTAATATGCCAAGAAACTCCCAAATCTCTTATATATTTCCACACTTCAATTGAGATATCATAGATATCATCAGGTTTTGAGATATCATCAGGTTCTACAGACTTTCCACCCTTGTTTTTCTTTAAAGCCTCATCAACCCTTTTTTTACTAATGCAACGGTAAAAATGAAATATTTATAATTATTAACGAAATTAAGATCACTAAGGTTAATTGTATTTTCAGAAACTTCTTTAAAAAGTTTATCAAAATAACTCATCCACTCATGTTAAATATCTTTATCTAAGAAAAACACTTTTATTTTCATCTTTAATACACTTTACTTGAGTTAAATCTTTGTTTTTTCTTTTTCTTTGTTTGTCTAGTTTTTATATATACTTTTCACCATCTTTAGTATCTAATATATTATAAAAATCACTAAAAACAGAATTTTTAGCGTAGCAGATTATTCTCTTAGACTCCCTACGGGCTATTTTATATTTTTCCCAATTCTCTAAGCTTTTACATTTAAACTAATTTTTATAACATAACATTTTATATTTTATCTTTCCTTGCACATTATTATTCCACCACTAAATAATTTTATTTATAGAAAATTTTTCTTTTGATTCTCCATGTACATCTTTTGTCACTTGTTTAATAATGTTTGTTACTTTATCTCACATAAAGTTTTCTACTTGTCCATATAGAATTTGATACTTCATGAATATCTCAAATCTTGAAATCTTGAAGTACGTAAAAATAATTTTATTTTTGTCTTTTAGGTGCCCCATCTAATTTTACGATAATTATTTCTAGTTTTCTTTATTTTACAACTCTTTATCTTAAAATCTAGCACTAATAATCGATGTTAAGTACTTAAATCCTCACTTAGAATGACCTTACAATTTTTACATTCTCGACGATCTCTTCTTCTCATAAGAAAATAATCAATTTGTGTTTTATTAGATCCATTCTTTTAAGTAATAATATGCTCATCTCTTTTTTTGATTAAAGTATTAGCAATGAGAAAATCATACGATAAAGCAAAATCTAATATGACTCTATCTTCTTCATTAATTATTCCAAAACCGTAGCTACCATGAATAATTCTAAAATCTTCTACCACTCTACTGACATATTAATTTAAATCTCCCCATGAATAATTCTAAAATCTTCTACCACTCTACTGAAATATTAATTTAAATCTCCTCTAATAAAAATTCTTTTTTCAAGAGACATCATTTGTATTAAATCTTCTAGTCATTACAGAATTTTTCCTTAAAATCGATATCTAGACCCGCTTGAGGAGCATAAGCATTTATAATATAAAAAATCTTAGTATCAACAATAATCTTTAGGGCTATAATCTATCTCTAATTCTATTAATTTTTACAATATTATCTTTCAAAATCTTTTTTATAATTACATACACACCATTTCTAGTGCGACTCTTATCTGAATGCTTAAGTTTGAAACTTAAGTTATCAATCTTCTTAACCTTTTCTCCAACCCATTTAGTTTCTTGAATAGATAAGATATGCATCTTTCTATGAATCTTAATATCAACAAATTCCATCAATTTATCTGTGAGAGTATCTATATTTTAAGATCTTATCTTAATATTAATTTCATTGACTAACTTCTTCACCCGCATTTGTTCGTAATATGAGAACCCTTGCTCATTTGACACTACACCCGGGGGTCGGTGTAGGAGCCCTTGCACACTTTTCACTGTATTCAGACTATACAACGCGTCGCTTACAAGGGACATCCTAACATTTGCACTATGATCAAAAGGATTCATGTCATGATTTTTCAGTCATGATTTTGGAATTTTTAACGTAAACTATTTTGTAATAATTATGATTATTAATTGATTAATTCTAATTAATAATTACAAATTTTAAAATAATTCCTTGATAATTTTGCCATGGCAGTCCTATTCCGGGAAAATAATGAATGATGATTGATGTTAGATCGATAAAAAAAGTAAAACTTGTGCAAAATCATTGGAAGGATTTGAAAATTAAATTTATCTTATGTTATTGGCATTGCTTTGAAATGACACATCACTATAGCGTTTGATTATGGTAAGGGATGATGGTAGTTTGCATCACTCATAAGTGTCATGCTACAAAGGGCTAGCTAGGGTGTTACCCCCCATCCTAGTGCGGCGAGAAGTTATCAAAGATTGATTAAGTGTTTATTTTGATGTGAGGATGACAATTAACGAACATAAAGATTAGAAGAAAAAATAAATATTTTGTATTCAATGGAAATTAATTAAAATGTTGTAATGATGCCCAAATATGAAGGAAAGTGGTGATGGGACATCGACTTCACCAATCTAAACTCAACATATTCAAAAATACATTTTCTTTCTACCTCACATTAATGACTTAGTCAATATGGTCAACTATACTGTTATGAGCTTTTCAGGTGTCTTTTCAGGAGTCAAACAAATTTAGATGGACCCTAAACCGATATGAAAATAAATTTTATCACTAGAGATAGGCTTTATTACTATAATATCATTTTGTTCAACTTAAAGAATGCTAGAATAATTATCAACAACTAATGAATCACATATTTCACTAGCAAAAGGGAGGAAATTTTGAAGTATATGTGGATGATTTATTAGTTAAAAGAGAGGCCACAACTGCACATACTAGACCTCAAAGAAACATTCACCACCTTGAAAAAATTAAATATGAGGCTA